ATTGCTCCGTCTTGTCTAAGACAACTGCGTTGCTCACTCTTGAGATGCAAGCTGGCGCGATACCCCAGATCGCGCGGAGACACCGGCAATGAAAACCGTCCAAACGCCTCCGGCCAGCTGCGTTCAACCACAAAGTTGATAATCCATACGTCAACGCGCTCAGAACCACAGCTTTGTACACCTCGATTTTTCGATGCCGGCTAAGGCTGGAATGTCGCCACACTTTGGAAAGCTCGTCGAAGTCAGCCCGGGCTGCGCCAAGACGTCGAGAAAGCTCTTTGCTCGAATCCCCTGCTCCAGAAATCAAGGCTCCCAAATAAATCATGTCCTGCCGCGCCGGTATGATGTTACCCTGCGTGTCTTGAATATTGTTCCGGCATCTGACTTGCAGTAATTGGAACCTGTCTGGGTGTAGCTCCATGCCGCACGACTTTCCGGAGTTTTGAATAGCCGCAAGCAACTGTTCAACGCCCTCCTTGGTCCTTCCCAATATGAGCGTGTCGTCTGCGTACAGCAGCACTGACAAAGATCCTCGTTCCCAGAGTTGGCGGTGCTCTTCAAAAAGTTGCGCTGCGGCGTCTTCGATTATGACTGTCATCGTCATGACGAACAAGAACGGTGACAGGGGACACCCCTGCGATATCCCGGACAACTGTGGCCTCGAAGATGAAGTCGCCCCGCAATCTCTCACCTCGAATTGCCGGTCTGTGTATATTGCGCGCATGACGTCCACCACGTGCTCTGACAAACCGAAACGCCGCAGCCCCCGCAGCATAGCGGAAGGGTTGATGGAGTCAAACGCCTTTTTCCAGTCCAAGGCCAATGCGTACAAATCACCCTTCGATGTTCCAAGCTCCAGGTCGATTCGCCGACGAAGTGGAAAAATATCTTCTTGTGTCCCGCACTTCGATCTGAAACCAAATTGCGATCCCGTCAGCCTGGATTCGGCCCCCGCTTCCACGAGGCGCCGGTGCAATAATGATGCGAAGATTTTGTATCCAATTACCAGCAAGCTGATTGGCCGATAGTTTGTGCAATCGTCTGTTCTTCCTTTTTTGTGTAAAGTCGTTACCCTCGCTTTGTGCCAATCTTGCGGCACCCTCCTGCCTTGCCAGCAATGGTTGACAAAATCCGCAATGCGTTGCAGGGCGTCGGAGCTGTCCGCGAGTACCTTCCAATACTCTGGTGGTGTGCCGTCTGGCCCAGGAGCTTTGCCATCGCGTAGCTTCCGCAAACAACATGTGACCTCGTCCTTCGTGAAGTCGGTCAACTTAACTGGCAACGTGTCGCCAAGAGCCGGTGCGTCAACTACATTGGCTGGTCGCACGCCCCATTGTATCTTCTCGAGGTATGTTGCCATGGTGTCAGCCCGCTCCTCACTGCTTACCAACTCCCCCTGCAAATTCCGCAGCCGGCCCTGCTTAGCTGATGGCGGTTTCCGGATGCTCCGAATATCTTTCCATGATCCCGTCGCCACAGAGTCTTCCAACCATTTCGCCTTATCTTGCCGCGCAGAATTCCGCACAGCTTTATGCTTTTCCTTCTCGAGCGCGGAGTTGCCGTCCTCTCGGGCTTTCGATCTTTCCTGAATGAGCTGCACTGTCCGGTCGCTGATCCAAGGTCGCCGTGGCCTGGGCGGTTCGTCTGGTAAGCCTTCAGCTGCAACCCCAAGTGCAGTAGAGATGTCTTTCCAAGTGTCTTCAATCACGTCTGTGCCGTTCTGGGTGAAGTGCGAATTGTCCAAAAACGTCGTAACAAATTGTTGTCTCGCGCGGGGGCTTTGCAGACTGCTTCGTTGTTTTCCTCTATGCTGACGGCGTGGTTGAGTCACCTCGATTCCTATGTCAAGCTCGCAACGCACCAAGAAATGCCGCGTGGCCAATGCTACTTCTCGCCGGCTTGCAACAGACAGTACTCGGTCAGCATGCGCGCTCGGCACGAGAAGCAAATCGAGCAACGCGAACTTGTTCGGAAGGATGTCGTCGCTGGGCTGGGCGCCAGGCTCCATGTAGGTAACAAGCTGTTCTTCGGGAACGGCTTGGAATGCATTGCTAATGCTGTATTGCTGTACCGTGCAGAACTCCATCAATAGATCACGGTTCGGGCATTCCACTTTGCGTGCTGCTTCGTATCCAAACGCATGCGTTCCAATTACGTGCTCTTCGCCACATCGTTGTTGACCAAGCCGGGCATTGAAGTCTCCAAACATGAATTTGAATCCGTTCACAGACACTGCGTTGACCACTTTCTCCAAGTCCAGATAAAATTGCGATCGCTCTGGCAATGGTCTGAGATTGTGCGGGGCGTAGCCGGTGAAGAGCGCGCGCTTGCCTTTGCACCCGTGGATCTTCAAACATGCGAGGCGGTCGGAATACTGCAGAAAACCACATATACAAGATGCCATGCGTGGCGCGATTATGAATCCCACTCCTGATTTGGATTTGGCTTCGTCGTCTGTGATCTCCGAGCCCGACAAAATAACGCGGTAACCGTTACTCGTGTAGTATTCTGCTCTAGAAGTCCATGTCTCCTGAAGGCAGAGAAAATCGATACTCCACGCACGCATTGCTTGGCAAAGCGTGTAAAGCTTCTCGTCGGTCAGACCGGTGACGTTTCACGTGGCAACTGTGATGTGCCCACTTTGTGCACCAGAAGCTGAACGCGGGTGTGGGCAGGCCGACGGCGCTGAAAAATAATGAAGTGAAACTGTGTCCTCGCCCTCCGGGCCCCGTCACTTACCCGCAGTCTTCCCACTCCCCTTTCCCTTGTCTGTGGCACGGCTCAGGGCATGCTCGCAAGACTCGCGGAGCGTCTTGAATTCCGCGTCGTTGTGGAGGTCTGCCCAGTTCTCCCATTCTGCACTGCGCCACGTAATCTGCAACGTCCCACGGTCGGAGCAGACAGATAAGATGTCGTCGACCCCCACTTGCATGGAGAGCGTCTCATCGTTGACCTGGATATTTTTGCAACCCCATTGCACCAGAAGCCGCTTGAGACCAAAAAGAAAACGAATAGGGATCCGGATGTTGGCTGGTTTATCTCCGTGTGCCCAAACTCTTTTGGTATTATGGGAAATCGGAGATCTGCGCAACATGTTCAGGGCCTTCTCCCTGTCTGCGTCGCTGTTCATCTTCGCGAACACGATGCCGCTGAAGACCTCTCCTTTCATGTAGATGTCGGCCGGCGCCGGCACCGTCAACTTGTCGAGCTCTTGCTTGAGGAACTTCGTTGCCTCCGCTAGCGATCCCAATGCATCCAAATTTCCAAATACGATGGTGTCGGTGACCGCATTGCCGTACATAGATGCCTTACCAGACTGCCGAAGAAGAGCAATTTCCCGCTCAAGGTCTGCAAGCTTACTTTGCGTGGTCGTGTCAACGGAAGCTCCAGATGCCGATCGTGCAGAAGCTGGGATGCTTGATTCCAGCGCGTCCATTCGCTGTTTGAGGCCGTCTATGTCCTTCTTGATGGGAGCGACCGTCTTACTGAGATCCTCCTGCGATACACCGTGCTGCTTGATCGCGGTGATGTCCTTCTTAATGGGCTCCAGCTGCTGTTTCAAGATCTTCGTGAGCGCTTCGGCTGTCAACGGTTCGGTGGCGCTGCCAGCAGCACCTCTAAGGTCCTCCTCGAATCGTGATTGGCGATGCTGTACGAGTGCACCTCCGGCTTCCTCACCAGCAAGGCCGTCCATCTCCTGTGGCGGGCTGCTCCCCGTCCTGGCCTGTTTGAGCGCGCTTTTGACCGGAGTGCCCATGTGATGCTTTTCCGCCGGCATCCTCACGTGAGTGTCGAGAGACACGAGCACCCAGAAACACTCGAAATCTGTGTTGTAATGGGTGAGTGTAAGGGGAAATGTAAGAGTAAGTGCGAGAAAAAGCCTTGTACGGGGCTGGGACACCTTGAGTCCTCCTGCTCTTCGCATTCTCCTCATCATCCACCTATCATGTTCATTGAAATCCTCCTCCATCCTCCCTCCTCCTCTCTGTTCTCTCCTCCTCCCTTCTGTTCCTCTCCAAATCCCTGTCACCTTGGCCTTCGCCTTCGCCTTCGCCTTCGGTGCCGGCTCGGCCTTGGCAAAGGCTGCACAGAGGACAACATGCGCAAACTATGACAGAAGAGACGGCACGGTCCATAGAGAGGAGGGGGCACAAGGAGGAAACACGTAGAGAAGGAGAGAGGCGCGTTGAAATACCTTGATAATCTGCACGCTCGCCCGTTCAGACGTCAGATGGCAGCTGGCCTTGGCCAGCACGCCAGGGCGTGGAGAGACGTTGTGCTTCCTTCCACGCACGCGAGCACGGTTGCCATGAATTGGCGGTCAGAGGCCCGGAAGTTGTCGAGGAGATCTGCATGGGCTACGCAGCGGCAAGTGGGCATTGACACGGACGCAACGGGGAAGCATCCGGGAGGTGGTAGGGCGAACGACCAACCGCAAATCATCTTAAACGGGCGGACGACCAGCCAGATCCCAGAGCCGAAGGCGCCGCCACCGCCAGAGGTGGCGCAGCGCCGACCCCAGAAATCCATGCGGACCTCCTAGAGCTCATGCTGATTTGGATATTTTCCAACTCGGTAACATATAAAAGATCAGGACGCCATCCGATTTGCCAAGTCATGCGGAGGACCCCGAGCATCATCACCAAATATGTTTCCCCAGACGTCGGGTTCATGTCGCGATGACGCTGGCAGATATTTCTGACACCGAATGGATCGTTGAGCCTTGAGCGACCTCGCTTTCCGACAGCGCAGACCGTCCCATGTCGGCCGATCCCAGCTTGTTGGAAGGGTTCATCCTTCAACGCCCGCATTGGGGTCGCCGCTTCGTCACCGCAGCGCGAACCTGCCGTACGGACAAGGACGCCGCCATCACTCAGCGTCCTGCGCGCGTGCGGACCAAGAGAGGGGAGGCGAACAATGAAGGGCGCGCCTTTTGAACCGCTGGGAGACTGATCGCAAGTCCTGACGGCCCACGTACCAGCGTCCATCGATCAACTGCTCTACCCTCTCTGCAGGAACGACCGGGATATCACAGCAGCGCACATGATCGAAGCTCCGGTATGCGAAGCGCTCCTGCGGGGGAACCAGAGCTTGCCTTGCCCACCCCGAAACCAGGCCTGGCGCGAGAGACCGTCTGACATGGCGCTCCGATGACTGTATCCGCCACCGTGCCCACCAGGCACATTGAGTCATGGTAGAATGACAAAGGCTGTTGGGTCGGGTGTCTCAAACCGTCTAGGAGTCCCCTTCCTTCCCCAGGCTATTCCTCGCGCGTATCCCCTTCCCTCCCCCCCGTGCACCAGGCTCTCTGAGCGTTCCGACGCCTCCCTGGCGCTCTCCGAGGCCTCCAGGATGCGCAAAATAGCTTCAAAAACGGCCCAGCCAGGCCACCGAAAAAGTCGAATCATGGGTCGCCGTATACTGTAGAAAGCCAAAGGGTACGATGGTGGCGGCGGCGGCGATAAGGAAAGACGCCTAGGGTCACCAGGACCCTCTCCTGATTCAACGTCCTTCTCCAGTTGCCTCTTACTGTCCTCCGTCGTCGTCGTCGTCGTCGTCATCTTCCTCCGCATTCCTCCTCGTACTCGCCCTTGTTCTCTTCATCCTCGTGCTTGTGCTTCTCTTCCTCCGCGTTGTCCTCATGCTCCTCCTCGCTGTCCTCACGTTCACCACGTCTTCCTCATCATCGCCTCCTCGTCGCCCTCGCCTTCCTCTTTCTTCTCCAAAAAAACCATTGGACTAAAGCGGCGCTTCCCGTTCTTGGCCGGTCAGGTTTGCCACAGGCACCTGGGCAATTGGTTAGCTCGTCCTATCTTACAATGTCCGTGAGTGGGAGCATGGCACGAAACTGCATGTGTCAAACGACAAGAACGATTGAGCCGAGACCACGATCAAATCGAGCCAGTCTGCAGTCTGGAGGTGGGGATGGCCTCTCGATGGCGAGCAGGTGGAGCCGAGGGCGAAACAAAGCCGTTGATCGATTCGTTCTGAGGGATGCTATACAATAGTACAGATGGCGGAACCATCTAAATAATTCGGTGATCGGGATGATCGATCGCATCGGATCGCGGACAGAACTGTCTACTTAGCAGGTTCAAGTCCTGGTCCCCCTGCCGGGATTTGCCAGCTCGCTCGACCAGTAGACCCCCGGCAACCCCCTGCAGCACCTCCCCGAGCACGACGGACCAGCAGAACCTGTACGTCTCGCCGGGCTCCAGGAAAAACTCGGCAGAACCGTCCATCGAGAAAGAGGAGGGATGGACGAGCCCCGACCCGAGCCGCAACACGTGGAACCTCGCGAGGCTCCGCACAGCGCAGTCTCCAGCGACCGGGTGACTAACGTTGGCCCGAAAAATGTAAACGACAGCACCATCATCACGTCCGCCCTCTTGCAACTCTCGATGCACATCCCACGAGACTCTCGGCGAGTCTTGGAAAGGCTCCGCCGGAATTGCTGTCTCGCCTCGGATCGCTGCGGTGACCTCAGAGATGCGCGGAGACAGCAGGGCATCGACCTTCTCGTTGCGCTCGATCCTGTCCAGCGAAGTTCGGGCGTCCGCCAAGGTGGGATGGACCTGGAGGGCTAGTTTGAACCAGTCAGCTGCTTCCTGATGAAGGCCCATGGCCTGGTAGACCATGCCGCACGCGGATAAGCACGCAAAATGCCTAGGCTTCAGCTGAAGAACACGGTCAAAATCCTTCAGGGCCAACTGGTATTCCCCCATGGCGAAATGAACGGTTCCCCGCTGGTTCCAGGCTTCCGCAAAGCCAGGGGCGGCATGCACCAACTCCGACAGCTCCACCAGGGCGTGGCGGAGGTGAATCAAGCTGCTGGCATCCTTCTTGAAGGGGGGGGAAATGCGCTCTGCTTGCTCTACGAGCGACACGACAGCTCCCTACACAGCTCGACTATGCGCCCTCGGATTCTTTCAACGAGCCAAAGCGGGTATGGAGCCCAACTCCTGACACGCAGACACACACTAACAAAACATAAGCACACAAACGAACAAACACACAAACAGACAAACAACACACACACACAACAAACAAACAAACAAACAAACAAACAAGCCAACAAACAAACAACCACACGCAAAACCCGTCCTCCCCATTTTCGGATCCGCGGACAGACCTGTACTTGGACACCTCCAAGGCACAATCCAAACCAGTGCTTCTAGCCACGTCCGGCCGTGGCGACAAAAGACCCCCGAGGGCAGAGATGGATCCACCGACCCCGCGTGGGGTGCTGGAGACTGCGTGGGACAAGACCGCAGATTTGGTCGGCAGTATGCGCGAAACTGCTTGACGAGTGCCTGTGGGCGGATATCCTCGATTCCATGCCTGAACCGAATACGCTGCGAGGTTGGCAAAATTGTCGGCACTTCAGCCCCCCATCCATCCTTGGCCCGCCAGAGACGCCGCCAGGAAGGCTCTGGCGTCGACCGAAGAAATCCGCGCGGACCTGAGAAAGCTAATGTTCACGCAGAACTCAAAAAAAACAGCCGACTCCCTCCTGGTTTGGCAAGGGAGGCACGTACACGATCCTGGGCCCAAGATGGGCCGCATCAGGGTCGGTGCGTATGTGTAGCCCTCATCGCAAGAACGAGGCTCATTGTTTCCCTTTCTTGGATACCGATCCCAGAGGCCTGCTTTTCCTCCCGAATCGTTTTTGACGATCCCTGGGCTGGAAAACAGCCTCCTGAGGCCAGGACGTCGTTCTTTTCTCGACGCGCAGGGAGCGTCTCCAAATGAATGTACAACGGAATCCAGCCGAGGCGACGAGAAGCCCGAGGAGCCCCCTGGAATAGGGAATTGACGCTTCCATTTACAGCATCGTCGCCACCCTCGCAAGGAAAAACACTTGAAACGAGTGATGTCAAACAGGTTTTTGAAATCGTCGCCAACCTTTGGTTACGAAATTGATAACATTTTTCAAGCTAGCCCGACGATAATGCCGCGCCGAAAACACGCAGAACCCAGCGATTGAGTCGTTGCGACCGACTGTTCGCAGTACCAACAACCATAAAACAGACGCAACGCTTGATTGTATTACACGGGGTGGCTTTGCTGAGAGTCTGGTGACTTCAACTGTTCCAAGTGAGCCCGCGTAATTCAGCCTGCAGGTCGCCCCGATGCGCAGCGGCTCTGGGGCGCGTGTCGCTTCGCGATGCGAGCCGTGGCCGCACGACAAGAGTGCCCCGCTCTCGCTCTTTATCACCCAGCACCGAGCCCGGCGCAACCGCAGTTCGCCCGTCACGCCGTGGCCGAGCAAGAGCCGCGGGAATGCAGGGGCTCTGCGCGGCTATCTGACGATGCCCCCATGCTGCCACGCTGAGGCGGCGCCCGCGCGCGCGGAGGGGGGGGGGCCACTCGGTCGCGCTGTGAACGGCGCTGCACGCCCGCAGGCGCTCGACCAACCGCGCCCCGCTCGCGGGCACCCAGCCGCGCTGCCACAGGGGGGCGACCGGGCAAAGACGCGCGTGCCTGTCGCCGCGGCCGAGAGGCTCGATGCTGTGGCCGAGAGCCCGCCGGCGCCGCAGCGGATCCTTGAGGGAAGGCAGCGGGGGCGCGATCTCCCGAGAGCTGAAGGCACCGTCTGCTTCTAGGCGCGCCTTGGAGGCATCGCCCGCGCCAGAATGACGCCGGCGGAACGGATACGGCCATCCCGTCGGCGCCCCAGGGCGGCGCCCAGTGCGGCACACTTGAGCCCAGGGCGGCGCCCAATGCGGCGCCCCGAAAGAACGCTGAGCTGCCCTGATGCAGGCGCCCCGAAGACGGCGCGAGCCTCGCACAATCAAAATCATGACCGAAATGATGCGGCGACGGGTGGCGGCGACGGGTGGCGACGGGCGGCCAAAATCCAGCCAGGCCAGACCGACGCACAGGCCCAGTTCCTTCTGAGAGAAGTAAGACTCCCTAAGCGCATACAGTCTGGGGAAGAAGCGACGCGGAGACTCCAGTATGCGCATCCATGTGACAGCGCCCTCCTCTCGAATAGTTATACCGATATATATATATATATATATATATATATATTCAAGCGCATCTGGGTATGAGTGGGCTTGACTGTGAATGACGCCGAGTACGAGTACGTTTGGACATTCGTGATGGGATGCTGCAATTTAAACGCATGCGAAGTCTCCATAATCTTGGTGCGAATGGGCCCGTGTCATACACCCTGGCCGCAAGATGGGCGCGGGGAGCACACCTTGTCGACACCTGCGAGGGTGGCCAAAATTACATGGCTGCTGAATCGAGGTGGCCATGGGCCCTATTCACCAAACGTGTGAGGGGTGTGCCGCAATGGACATGCTGTGGGCGGGGAACTACATGTGGACCCTGCCACTGGGAACTTACGTGAACCTACCTATGGGGCCACGAATCATGTGAGGGGCATGCCGAAATGGGCATGCCGTGGGCGGGGAGCCGCATGCAAGCCATGCCTCCCCGCACAACCCTGACCCTGGCGGGGCGGTGAGAAGGGAAGAAAAAAGGAAGCGGGGGAAATAAAGCGACTACGTATTGGAAAATTAGGAATCACACAGACAATCCAAAGCACAGCGTCCCCACCACACCCCAGATAAACTCACACACACACACACATACACACTCCCCAGCGGACGGTGGCCAGTGAACGGGAAGCTGGAAGCAAGGCAAACCAAACAAAATGATGAGAGAACGAATCCATGGCAGGGGGTTCATGAATGTAGGGACCCCAAAACTTGGCGCCCCGAACAAAGCCCACGGGCCATCCTCCCCTCCCCGGTGTCGAGGGGCGGAACGGGAAAGAGAACAAGGGAAGCGGGACAACTACAAGAGAAGATGGAAAAGTCCAGATTCCCACGGCAGGAGTTGAATAAATGCTGCCGGTGTTGAAAACCAACGGCGCGGGCCGTGGAAATGCACCTGGCGTAGAACATCAGAAAACGCGGCGCCCCAACCAGGAACGGTGACCCCCCGCCCACCCGCGCCGACCCCGTCTCCGCGCCCCACCTTAGCGGGACGGCGGAGAAAAAACTTAAAATGCAAGTGCGGGGAAACAAACAAAGTGAACAACGAACCGTGTGAGGGGTACGCCAAAATGGCGCGGGGCTGCCATGCAAACCCTGCCACTGGGGCCTTCGGTGGAGCTCCCTATGGGGCCACGAACCGTGTGAGGGGTGCGCCAAAATGGCGCGGGGCCGCCATACGAACCCTGCCACTGGTGCCTTCGGTGGAACTCCCTATGGGGCCACGAGCCGTGTGAGGGGTGCGCCAAAATGGGGCGGGGCCACCATGCTAACCCTGCCACTGGGGCCTTCGGTGGAGCTCCCCCATGGGGCCACGAACCGTGTGAGGGGTGCGCCAAAATGGCGCGGGGCCGCCATGCGAACCCTGCCACCTGGGCCTTCGGTGGAAGTCTCTTACATTATGGGGCCACAAACCTTGTGAGGGGTGCGCAAAAAACAGCGCGGGGCCGCCACGCGAACCCTGCCACGGGGCCTTCGGTAGAACTCCTCATGGGGCCACAGACCGTGTGAGGGGTGCGCAAAAATGGCGCGGGGCCGCCATGCGAACCCTGCCACTGGGGCCTTCGGTGGAACTTCCCTATGGGGCCACGAGCCGTGTGAGGGGTGCGCCAATATGGCGAGGGGTCGCCATGCGAACCCTGCCACTGGGGCCTTCGGTGGAGCTCCCCTATGGGGCCACGAACCGCGTGAGAAGTGCGCAAAAATTGGGCGCTGCCGCCATGCGAAGCCTGCCGCTGGGGCCTTCGGTGGAACTCCCTATGGGGCCACGAACCGTGTGAGGGGTGCGCCAAAACGCGAGGCCGCCATGCGAACCCTTCCACTGGAGCCTTCGGTGGAGCTCCCTATGGGGCCACGAAACGCTGCACTGGGTGGGTGAAACGCAGGGAGGAGGGAGGAGAGGAAGAGGAGGAGGAACGCGAGGCACCGTCTCTTCAAAACCATGACCCAACACCACAGGATGGCTGGAAAATACACAATCCCACGGCGCTGGCCGCAGATATGCTGCATGCGCAAGAATTCCCGAGCTCGGCCCCCCCGACCAAACCCCAGACCATCCTGGGGCGGTGGACGGCGAACAAAAAAAACGGGGGAACACATACAGAGAGGACCAAACGTAATCGAAGGCGGACAACATGCAGGGCCATGTCTCCTACGGGCCCGTTGCGAAACCGACTGGAAGGGTAAAACGTGCATTTTCAGCACGGTGCCACCCGACAGGGAGTACAACAGCAAAAGCAACGGGTAGCCTTCTAAAGAGTCTGACACGAGGCCCCATGCCTCCCTGGGCTTCCGAGAGGGACGCGTAGAGAGACCAGAGAGGAGCCAGAGGGACCAGAGAGGGACCGGAGAGAGGGACGGGAGAGGGCCAGAGAGGGACAGGGGCAGGTCTCGGGCAGGACTACGACTCCAAGTCAACCTCCTCCGTCTCGTCGATGCCGCGCTGGAGGTGCACAGGTCCTCAGCGGTCTCTCCATTATTTTTCGGAATCGTGCCAGGCCTGCGCCCGCGCAGAGCCGCGACGCTGCGAGCGGGAGGCGCAACCGTGGCCGAGCCTGGAGGCGCATTTGACGTCGAGCCCGAGGGAGGAGCTGGGACATTCCTCTCTCCGAGGGCCGCGCTTCTCCAGAGCGCGGGAGACGGCGGCTGGCGTAGGAGACATTGTGCTCACGTTTCCCCTTGGAGCAGCGGCCCAGCTAGCCACTTCGGAGGGCGAGAACTTGGGCGGCGCGTGGTCTTTGGCCGCCGCCGCAAGCAGCTTCGCTGACACACGCGGCGAGAGTGCAACCGGGATCAAGGAACCCTGGTGCTGCTTCGCAGTCTCTCGGCGTCGCCCAGCGCCTGGCGCCTGACGATTCCCAGCGCGCGCGCTTTGCACAGCTCACCTGACTCGTGAAGTCGGCCGCGCACTTGGCCCTCAGACCGCGGCGGTGCTCAACCATGTCTGGCGAGGCGCAGAAAACTGCAGCGTAGAAAGTGTGAGCCTCAATGTGCGACGGTGCTCACTCGGCACGGGCTGCAGGAAACGCCGAACACGGTGCAGAATTCGCGCGGAGATCACGCCGAGAGCCCAGGTTTGCTATTATTGGAAAAGCTGGAGCACTTTATACGTAGAAAGCGAAATGCGTGACCTCACATCCACATCTCCTCTCCAGCTAGGGGGGTGGCCGCTCCCTCCCCTCGAGCTGGTGGCATCTCCTTCCAAGAACTCTCTGGAGGCATGCCCGGAACGAGGTGCCACCAGCTCGAGAGGGTGGGAGAACCACCCCCCTAGCTGGTGGTAGTGGTACTTTTGTCTTTGGCGATGTTTGAAAAGACAGCATGTAAGTAACCTCTGCGTAGCAGATGACAATCCAAATACATGATCGCCCATTTAGAAGATGCTCGCCCTCTCTGTCTCTGACCAAGTGATTTCGCAGAATGGAAAGAAAACATTAGCGTGGAGCTTCGAACCTCGATCTCGTTTTGACCCCCAGACCATTTCCTTCACGGCGATTGGAGTCCTGCAGGTCCACCCTCTCCAGAGCATCCACGCCGCGCCGGTACGCCTCGTTGGCGCCCTCGTCTCCAGAAAGGCTCCAGCAGGCCCAAAGGCCCCGCTGCTCGGAGGGCGCCAGCTGTACACCTACAACCTACACCAATCCGATCCTGGCTGGGCCGATGCTGGGCCCAGGACAGGTGTGCACCCAGACCTCTAGCGGATTGATTTGCGAACTTGCAGCTTCTTCCCTCCATTTTGGCCTCCAGGGGCCACCTTCGGGTCCCAGGACCCTCAACAACTATCCTAGATGAAAGACTGTCCAAGTGGAAATGGCCGGGACTTCCTAGGAACCCATATTCAGAAAATGTTAGCCAGCGTGCTCCCCAAACAATGATGTCTTGCAGACTATGCACTGCAATCTAGGTGGTACAATCATGTAGTGCAGACTAGGCGGTGCAACTGTGCTCCATGCCGCCGGCGAGAGGAGGCGGGGCGAGGGGGGAGGAAGAAGGCGAAGGGCGGAGCAAGAGGAAGAGAAAGCAATGCAAATCTAGGTGGTGCAACCTGTGTTGTTCGAGGCAATGCAAAGTGATTTGCAGCAGGGCAAAGCCATACAATGCGATGCAAAGCAATGCAAAGCAGTGCAACACAGTGCAAAACAGTGCAAAACAACGCAAAGCAATGCAAAGCAGCGGAAAGTAATGCAAAGCAATGCACCAGGATACAAGGCAACGCATAGCAACGCAAAGCACTATAACGCAACGTCATGCAGTACAAAGCAATGCAATGCAATGCAACGCATAACAATGCAAAGACATGCAGAGCAATGCAAAGCAATGCAGTGCAATGCAAAGCAAAGCAATGCAGAGCAGTGCAAATACGCAATGCAAATACACAATGCAATGCGATTGCAACGCGGCGACGGCCGGCGACGCGCCGGCCCGACGGACACAGGGGCCCGGCGACGGCGACGACGGGCTGCCACAGGCTAGCCTGAGCGGCACTGGAGCCCAGCGGCGACGGCGGCGACGGGCGGCCGGCCACAAGCCGGCTGGACCGACAACCAGGTCCAGTTCCTCAAAGGGAAACAAGACCCCCCGGGGTGCAGGGACTGCCTGGGGGCTCAGGGCGTCGAAGCATCGGTGGTCCTGGCCAGGCCCAGCCGGGGCCCGAGATCGGTGCACATCCCCTCTTGGCGCAGGCAGCGATCGTGGGCCCGGGGATGGGTCCTGTCCGGGTCGGTTGGTGCACCGCCGGCGCCCTCCGACGCTCCGCCGCGGCGCGCAGCTCCCGGGCACCAGGGCCCCTCACCTCGCCGAGGACCTGGAGCAGGGCCTCCTCGGGGCGGCCGCACCGCATCGAAGAGCCCACTGCGAGAGCGACCGCCATCGAAGCGGACGGGCGCAGGAAGCCACCGGTCCCCACAGAGCCTAGGGAGCTTCGTCGGGGCATGGCGGGGACGCTGAACGACCCCTCCCGCAACACCCACAGGCGGGAAGATTGTTCCGTGGGGGGTCTCCTGCTCTCCGCCACCTCCCAAAAGCTAGAGCCCAGGGTCGAATCACCCTCCTGCAAGCAAACATCACTGAAGGCAAAATACAACCGAAAATCTGCATTCGAACATCTGTGTTTGCACATCTACAGACGAGCGAAGTATCGCTGCCTTCAGCCCCAAGAAAAAAGCATCTGCCTTCGAAGCGACGTGAACTCAATGGGCTCGTTGTTTACATACGGGACCGACAATGTCCATCGTCGAAACGTCCCGATTTCCCCAAGCATGATCGCGTCTGCACAAATCGAAGCGAAGAAAGCCTGTGAAGACCCACCTGGAGCCGATGGTCCACGCTCACCCCCCGCCCTCGAGGAAGGAAACAAGAGAGGACACGGGAGGAGAAGGGCAGATCAGAAGAGCTATGGCTATAAGAGGAGGAAGAAGTGTCAGGTGAGCAAGTTTGGGATCCGGCTCCAGTGCGCGTCTCCGAGTCGGACCAAGTGGAATCAGGCAGCGCCATCAGCTATTCATCAATATCCCCCTCTTGATGCTTCCTCTAGTGGGTCCTTCGAGGAACTGCACTCGGCTGCCAAGGTTGGTGGTTGCCCATGGGGGGTCCCCACGGAACCCGCACGAGCAGTCCCGGCCTGGCTCCCAAGGCTGGTGCTTCCACACAGGGCACGCAATGGCTGTTCCGCCCAGTGTCTCAGCCTTGGTCACCCTGGCTGCCAGGGTTGGTCTTTGCCAGGAGGTCCCACCTGCAAGGTCATGGCCTTGCTTTGTCGTTCCCCTTCCGAGAGGGAGGAGGCGCAGGGACGGGCGTGGAACAGGGGTCCACCAAGTGGACGGGGTAGCGACGGCGATGCGGCTCCTCGGCGCCTGGCACCGGCAGCGGCGGCGACGCCAGCTCCCGGAGGGCCTCCACCGCCAGGAGCCTGGCACGTGGAAGGCACCTACACGGCACCACCGTGCCTGGCCAGGGCCACCTGGGCCCTGGCACACCTGTGCACACCATCCTACGACAGGTTCACGTCGTAATGACCTCGGCGTTGACTTCTGCCATCGCGTTGATCGCTCAACCTTGAGCGGTCAACGCTTTCCGACTGCCGAGATCTTGCAAGTCGGGCCGAATCCACAAAGCGGGCGGAATTCAAGCAAGAACGCCTGCGCTGACGTCGCCGCCGCATCAACGCGGCGAGAACCCGCCGTCGGGCCCAGGATGGCCCTGGCCAGGCACGCTCGTGCTGTCGAGGTGCCTTCTTCGGAGCCTGGGCGCCAACCTGATCTCTCCCAGGATGCCATCCGACTCCCGACCAAAAGTCCGAAACGAATTCGGCCGAGGCGACGAGGGCCCGCCAGGATGCCCAAAACCCATATCTCCGACATCGCTGAAGGTGAAGCCACACAAATTTCAACATATTCTCCGACAGCCCCAGTCCCGATAAGGTCAACCGGAGGTAGAATGTGTGCACCAACATTATGTCGGGATCCATCGAGCAGTCGCCTCCGAAAGCACTGGGCTGAGACGTTGGTGGGACTTGCCTCGGGCAGCTGGGTCCGCCGCCCCCTATGGCTTGCCACAGAGATGCACAGCGTACCAGACGCATGAGCGCTTTGGTTCGTAAAAGGTTCCCAGCAGGGTCTCGGTCCAGCCCGCAGGCCACCCGGAAGGACCAGAAGGCTGGACCAGATGGCCCAAGATGGCCGAAGATACCCCCCAGTGGGTTCCAAGACGGCCCAAGAGGCATCCAAGAGGACCTACTGAAGGCCCAAACAGCAGGCCAAAAGCCTTGGGATCCCCTCGGTTTTGAAGGATTTAAGCGTGCTCGCCTGTTCGGGCTTCCGAAGCTCCAAGATAGCCCAATAGGCCACCAAGATCGCACTGGCACGAGAGGCCCACAAGACGGCCCAAGAGAACCGCAAGGCGCCCCAAGCGGCCCCAAGACGGCCTCATAAAACTCCAAGAGGACCCTAAAGCACCAAAGAGGAACTCATGACTGCCCGGAGAAGGCCCCAAGCCTGCCTCCGAAGATCAAGAGGTCTCTTCGAGGCCCACAGAAGCCCCCAAGAGGCCTCTAGAGGCCTCAGGAGGCCCCCAAGAAGCCCCAGGAGGCCCTCAAGAGGCCCCCTGGCGCCCGACAGGAAAATCGGTGCCAGACGAACCATCCCTTCGATGAACAATTCCAACATGTATGGTCGCATGTTGCTTCGCCCCGTGGCCACAACCGCAAGGATGTGAGAATCAGAAATCATATCGAATCGGCCCTGTGACGACGCCCATTCTGAATTCGGGGTTTGGAGGCCTCTTGGCCCTCCTGGGCTGGCTTGGGGCGTTCTTGGGAACCTCTTGGGCGGTTGTGGGGTGATCATAAGTCAATAATGAAGGTTCTTCGAGGCTCCTCCGGCCGATTGAATACCTTCTCTGGGCCGTCTGAGACCCGTTGATGCCGTCCTGGAGATGACTCGGGGCCGTCTCTGGCCACACTGACGGTTGTATAACCGCATGCGGAAGCGATACCGGCCCCGCCCCCCACCACCCCATCCACAGCGGGCCCAGCCCCTGGCTAACACACACACACACACACACACACACACACACACACACACTTTTGGCGTCGCGGCCCTGCGCGCAGCAACGGGGCGTAGAAGGATGGAAGCCAGCAAATCGCGCGCGCGCGTCTTAGCCCGCCCGAGCACTCAGAGACCATTTCTTAGGGTCTCTGGGCATAACCAGCCGGGCATGGATGGGGGGGGGGGGCGTCGGAAGGTTGAGACTACGGCGGGGTGGAAAGTGCCATAAGCCAACGGGGACTGGAAGGCGGGGGGAGCGAGTAAGCAGAGTGTAGCGACAAGAAGGCCAAGGCCGAGCTGAAAACCGAAACCATCTGGGCGTGGATGGGGAGGGGGAGCAATGGAAGGACGAACGCTCAATCAATCAATAAATCGAACAATCAATCAATCAAGCAATCAAGCAAATCAACAAGCAAGCAAACAAACAAACAAACAAACAAACAAACAGACAAGCAAACCATCAAGCACATTGGCGGTCTGGGTCCTGGCCTGGGAGGCCATGGGCCCGTCGCTCGTGAAAGGGGCCAGGTTTGCCCCTTCTGAGCCTGGGCGGCAGACCGCCGCCAGGGCCCAGCGCCTTGTCCCGGCTCTGCCGCAGCTGCTCCGTGCGCCGCCACTCCAGCGCCGCCCCTGGGCACGCCGCCTCCTCCCGCCCGAGCCGGGCCCGCAGCCGATCCGCCTCACCGCGGGCCCCGCTCCTCGGGCGAAGACAACACGGTTCGATGTTCGAGTTTGGTCGTTCTTTCTGCGCCACGGCTGAAGTTTCCTCGAAACGCTCGAGAGATGGTTCCAATATCGAGGTTGCTGCACGCATGTTGTCAGTGTGGGGTATACTGGAAGTTACCTGTCGCCACGGCGGGGCCGCCTCGAGATCCTGGACGGGGTGTGGGATCGACTTTGACTACCGTGTTCAGCCTGTTTGATTGCAAGCGCCTCGAAGCGGGGTGGCAAGAATTCCCTCCTCCCGCCCGAGCCGGGCCCGCAGCCGATCCGCCTCACCGCGGGCCCCGCTCCTCGGGCGAAGACAACACGGTTCGATGTTCGAGTTTGGTCGTTCTTTCTGCGCCACGGCTGAAGTTTCCTCGAAACGCTCGAGAGATGGTTCCAATATCGAGGTTGCTGCACGCATGTTGTCAGTGTGGGGTATACTGGAAGTTACCTGTCGCCACGGCGGGGCCGCCTCGAGATCCTGGACGGGGTGTGGGATCGACTTTGACTACCGTGTTCAGCCTGTTTGATTGCAAGCGCCTCGAAGCGGGGTGGCAAGAATTCCAAAAAATTCAAAGAGTGCGCCAAGCGGCGGGGACGCCAGCAAGTTGCGTCCAGCCGTGGCGACGACTTGGGTCATGGAAGACCACACAAGACTACTACGACTACTACGACTACAACTACGACTATGACTACGACGACGACTACGACTACGACTACGACTACGACTACGACTACGACTACTACTACGACTACGACTACTACTA